ATATTTCCAACCTTGGTTTCCTTGACGTTGGCGCTAATTTTCTGTGTTGGATCCGTGAGTGTTTGGTTGGAAACCCCCCGTCTGATCATTCACCGCATAAGCATCATCTTCATAGTAACACTCTTAAACTGGTGGTGGCATTCTAGTCAAGTAATTCACAGCATTTACCTTCTCTGCACCTCCGCTAACATGCTTCAATACCAACCCTAACTCGGTCCTCATCTGAGCCATCTCCTCACGAATCTCCTCTGCAGACTTGTTGTTCGTAGCATGAACGACAACTGTGTTTCTCCCAGTATCTGACCTCCTAGTGCTCCGTGCTTTATTGTTGCGAGAGATCTTCTCCAATTTTTCTACAATCTGTGCATCTGTGCACTCACCATATGATCCTCCAGCAATAATATCAAACTGTTTTATTGTTGTCATCCTGACCTCGATAGAAATATTCCTTCAGCGACTCATCATCAATACGGTGATTCGGAACACCTGTTATAAATGCAGTGAATCTGTCCCAAGAGCTACTCATAGACTCTCCAGGTAATGCTACAAACCCTATCTTTGTGATTGAGCTTCTGGACACTGGATAATATCTTGCTAGAACACATCCGTCAGTTGGTCCCATGTATATATTGAGTTATAAGGAAGGTCAGTGAACCATATAGCAGCATCGCCTATCAGTGATAGATGGAACACTCGCAACTCGATGACATCCATGTCCAAGTCTGGTCGACCCACACAACTCTTGCAAACCGCCCTTAGCTTGGCTATGTAAGCATGTGGGTCTTCCGAAGGTGAACCCGAGAATAAGCCCCTCGCTGTAAGCATATGCATCAAACGTAGGTCACTACAAATATGTGCCCTGGAGGTAAAGGGGGTAGGATGAGAGGTCTATCTGAGTCAGCAATGTTTACGTTGCCCCTATAGTTGTCATGCAGTCGAGGGCCTGGTGGGCCATGCACCCTCACTGCATCTCCCAATTGATTTTCAGCTAGAACATGGTTGTCTCCCCCAACCACCCTCGGGGGTTGCAACTCAACTTCATCACCTAGATTGCCTCCAATAGGATTAACTTGAACTCCTTGATTGTTCATTCTTCGCAAAGTTCGGTTCAATCTAGTCATAAGGAGTAAGTGGTTCAGCTTGGCTCCTTGTGTTTGGCATACACTGGAGTCAAAACCTGAGAGAGACAAAAGCAAAAAGAAAAAGTAAAATTAGGAAATATTTGACTAACGTTCAATAATGTAGTTAAAATAAATCTAAAAGCCAAATTCCCCGACAACAGCGCCAAAATTTGATACGCTCAAACTACACCTCCCTAAAGAAGTATAGGCGATCGTTGTAAAATAAGGAACTCAACTTGTAGGTTGGGATCGATCCCACGAGGAATATGGTTCAGACTTAAACTTA